GAAGAAACGGTTGATTGAACTTTTCGGTTGGAATTTTTCTTTTATAACGCCTTGACTGGTTCGCGTGGGAGTTTTCTGACTCAGGGTCTGTAATACTTGAAGGTGTGTTCTTCAAATTNTCGATAATGAACTTGTTCTGGAGGTGTGACTGTCTTGCGCAACCCATCGTAAAACCGCTCTCGAACTCCGAACATTTTTTTCTGGGCAATCGCTACCATGAAGCCTATCATCTGCAGTCTATTTTTTTGTTTTCCCTTCATCGTATGCACTAAAGTCGAGAAGTAGAAGGCTTCGGTGTTAACCGGGCCCGTTTTGGGATACGCCATGCATTTGACTTCCATCAAGAATCGTAGTAGCCTTTGAGTGCGTATGTGGCCTATGCATACAATGACCTACGGTTGCCTCCCGATGTCAGTGCTTTTACCCACCAGACGAGTCTGAGACCAATTAACCGATGATGGAAGGCTTGGTTGACCTTGGAGACCAGGATTCGATCCGAGGGCCAAGTAAGTGTGATAACCTGCTGGTTGCCACCATACCACCTATCGGATGCATTACCTTGTAGGATGAGGGGATGGGAGAAGTTTAGGGCCGTGTTCTGTAAGGTTTTAGGGATTGGCATCTTTCGATACAGTAATCCCCGCATGGAATTGACGTGGTAATGCTATTCGGTACGAGTTTTTAAAGTCTCTTTCACTAAGCCAATCTATATGGTCTGCAATTTTACGGCACCACGCATTTCTGCACACATACCACATGCGTACTTTTTCAATTTAGGGATATCAAAGGAAGGCGCGAGTGTGTGTTTCATTTTTTTTGTTTGATTTTTGTTTCTCACAGATGCCCAATACAATGGTGTTAATTTTAAATTTATTGATGGTTACAGAACGGCTAGAATCTGTGTAGGTTGGCTAGTTCGTGCTCAAAGCAGAATAATTCAAAGTTGCGTGTGTTTTAATGGATTCAGCAGTGGTGTCTAGGGAATTGCTGTTTTTTTTTCTACTTTCTAATTCCTATCTTCAAGTTCAAGCACAACCAGCTACACGATTGGGGTGTACCCTACCTGCAGATCTCATTGGATAAATAAACATGTGAAAGGTCAACTTTTTCGCACCGAGGCTGAGCACGGTACACGCCTTCCTGTCATCCTTCCCTTGAATACTGGCTCCTTTTTGAGAAGCTATTTTGCAAATGTTATCCTCTACGCCAAACGATGATTAAAATTCTTTTGAACGGGTTTCTGGTAGGATTATTTATCAGGCTGAGTTCGGAAAGATCGAATCGGTAAGAAGTTGTACGCTAAAATTTTTGCTGAAATTTGGCGGCAATTCAAAATTACGCAATTTCTTCTTTAAATATTTTATGAAAGGGCAATGTTTCGGCATTACATTGTAAACCACATGACGTGCTGTCGTGACGCTTCAAAAGCTGAAGGGCAACGGCAAAGATCAGCCCATCGGCCCAGTTACCCGCCAGACGGAAATCATTCTTTTGTACTTAAAATCAATACTATTTTTTGAGCTGGAAAGTTGGTACTGTATGGTAGAGGAAATAAACGGTGGAGTTATGTTGAACTCTTACATGTGGGGTTATTTGCGAATTCAATAAGTAATTGCAAGGAAGAGGAAATGGGGAGGTTTTCCGCCAGTTCGGCGAATTTCCGACTTCAATACGAAGTTTAACTTCCTTTTGTTTCTTTTTCTGTATGCAATGTCTCAACGTGCCCTCTTTATGCTCATTCCAATGGATCCATTCAATGCCACCAAACCTGTCTAGCATCTTTCTGAACCCTGTTTATTTGAACGTCTGTTTAGTTTTCTTGTGGAAAGTGAACTGAGTTCCGTCTTTTGCGAAATTATGCCTTAATGGATATGTCAATCATAAATTCCATTGTCAACATTATAATACAGTATTGTGAATATGAGCCGATGTAATTTTCGGTAATTCGCGGAAGAAACGGGTTGATTGAACTTTCAGGTTGGAATTTTCCTTTTATAACGCCTTGACTGGTACGCGTGGGAGTTTTCTGATTCAGGGTCTGTAATACTTGAAGGTGTGTTCTTCAAATTCCTTCGGATTTCATTTTAGAAATCCCAGTTTTCCGTAGTTATTGCTCCGGTAAGAATAAATTCCAATTGAAGAGTTCTGCCTAACCCTATTTTTTCCATTGTCGTTCCTCTGAAGTTTTCAGGCCACTAAGCTCAGCCTTCCCTGAAGATCTCCCAAGAAAGGCACCTCGGCGTTAGCTTAGACCGTGAAGCCCGTGTTGGACAACAACTCATAATCAAATAAAGTTTTTTTAGTCCGACTAAGGCAGCTCAAGTGATGGACTTGGGTATACCAAGCTACCTTTCAGGATTTTTCGGTTAAGTGTAAGAGTGTGTTAGACGCTCTACCACGGCAGCTTCACTACAAATCCCTCTTCCCTTCCCATTTGCCTTTCCCCCTACCCTACCTTCGAATCGTACAGGTTTCTAGCAAAGTTAATGGGTTGTGTTTTGATTTTTGTCGTTGCGAAAGAGTACGACAAGTAATGCGATAGTCGGAAGGTACGTCCTCATCCTCATTCTGCTTTGCATTTAAATAGCATCCGAATTACAAGTCAACGAATGCTCCTTTTTTGTATACCCATCGATTTTTCCTAATTTATCTCCTCGCCATGCCTATCTATGTGAGTCTTCCAAAAGCTCCCACTATTTGAGAATTCCCTGCCTATAATTCAGCATTATTAATTAATTTGCTATATGGCATTCGGCTCGATTGAATCGAGGATTCGTAATTCATTGACATGCGCCCTGATCGACNAATTTGCTATATGGCATTCGGCTCGATTGAATCGAGGATTCGTAATTCATTGACATGCGCCCTGATCGACGTGTTACCACTTCATGTGGGACGACCTCAAGTTAAATGCCAAATAAACTGCGGCATCGTGTTCGACCGTTATGGAAAGTTTCTGTTTGGAGGTTAGTTTCAACAAGGATGACATACGTTCGAGTCAGGTAGATGAGCGCCAATCAGATTTGCTAGGCTTTATCGAGGTTATGTCCGTACCACGTTCTACCAGTTGTCGTTATTTTTCCTCTTTCTTCTGTAGTCCTGTTTTGTGGATGTTGATATTTTTATGCGTGACATTCTCCATCGCAGGTGAAACCATTCATCAAGACGTTTTCCTATTACATTAGGTTTCAATCGCTTGAATAGGTAGAGAGGGTATTCATTATGAATGTCACTGATTAATGCCTTCTCAAAATACGATCACAAGAACCATCAACGAGGCATTTGAGAACATTCCATGATTGAGACATTGATGTTTCATGCAGTGTCTTTNACAAGAACCATCAACGAGGCATTTGAGAACATTCCATGATTGAGACATTGATGTTTCATGCAGTGTCTTTCATTTTCGTAATATATCTTTGAAATAATTTTCGATCCATTGTAGACTAAATTTTGGGATTAAAAGGGAGCTTTTTGACGCTGGGAAATTTGGAATTAGCTCTCCTTTTCCGATATTGAGTTCTAATTTGCTAACTTTGCTTGGTAACGATTCCCCGAATATATTCCACTTTTCTTTATTTTGGTAATTCAGGAGAAATCCATTATATGAAGGGTTTATGCTACTATCAAGCTACCTGGATTAGTTGTATTTCTGGGAAATAAATACCTTGATTACTATCACCAATGGAATGGAGCAGACCTCTTTTTTTGCATTTCTTTCAAGCCCAATGGTGGTTTCCCTAGCAAGGATTGTCATTCAAGTTATTCCTCCTTCTTTCCATATGTGTAAGCAGTCTTCAACACGTATCACAGTTCTGTGTTTGACATTCGTGTTATTTGATCAGCGTTGTTTGCCTACCATACAACCCTGACGTCCTCCTCATCGGAAATCTTATTATCATAACCATACAAAATCATTTATCGCCATTCTCGAATGTTCATTGGTCGCATCAGGAAAATGTGTAGAGTGAAGGGTTGAGGTGATAGCGGTTGACTGTGTGAGAGAAAGGTAGTAAGAACGACTTCAGTTCATCTTTTCTTCTTTGCGGTCGTGGTTGTGGTGGTGACGTTTAGAAAGCACTTCTATCGGTCTATCACTTCATTCATTCCACCATCATCGTTGTCGTAATCCTTCACCTCGCGATTTGAGCATATGTTCTACATGATTAAGTGCCCGGTAGCCCCGCTGGCCACTGCCAGCCGAAACCCTCTCGCGGCTAATTGGCTATTTTTCTTCAAAAGTGTATTATACTAAATGTCTTTTTCAGATCCGCCTTTCCATCTACTCGTGAGACTAACCGTATCGTGTAACCTGATGAGGTGCTAATAGCACTTCTACTATTCCTTATATTTCTAATAGACTAATATTTGTACGTGCTACTACTCATCTAGTCAGAAGTATGAGAACGGGTCTGATCGTATTATTTTCGCTTACTTGTATATATGCAATAGAACACGATTCGGTGGGTTCTTTTTTCTCTAAGACTTCCCTTTTTTAATGAGTTTTTCTCATTCAAAGTTCTATCCTGGTTCTATCTCATAGCTTGGTTCTAGATATGTGATGATGATGACGATACTTGTCCAGAACCGACGCATACAGTGATTCGGTTAGCTAAACGAGACGATGCATTGGCAAGAAAACTTGCCGCCGAACATGGAATGCGGGTTAGGGTGAGTGGTATTCGATGTAATAATTTATTAAAACATGATATTAGTTGTTATAAAGATCTGTTGATCAAAGAAAGAGGGTTTTTCGGAACTAGAAGCGCAAGAAGGCTCCCCTTGGGTTTTAGGCAACCGTTACTTGACTAGACGGTAATGCAGAAGGCTCTCTTTGAGGCGCTGATAGATGTTCTGACTGCAGTTTCGTTTTCGTTCAGCTATCATTTGAACCTGTGCGCACGATTCACCGGTCCTTGTGTGTGCAATGGTGTGAAAGCGAAGCGATGCGAACGTGTTTTCTTTTCACTCACGATACCTGAGACTTGTTTTTCTGCGCTGGAGCGGGATTTCGTGTTTTCTTAGCAGTTCTCGTGTACAACTGTTTCAAGGTTGCATTAATAACCCTCTACGAAATTCGTGATATTAAGAGTAAAAGGTTTTTGCTTTTTGTTGACAATTTCCCGATATGTCAAAAATATTACAGTCTCAGTTCATTGAACACATGCCAAGTAGATATATGGGTTGCGATTGAGTAGAGGGTTTGAGTGAATGGCCGGAGTACTTTTGCTCCTTCTCACGGATTTTCAAATTTTGGTGATGGCGTAATCGTGCACGCAGCCAAAAACTTGCTTGTACTATGGCGCTTTTGATAGAAGACTGTGCGCCCAACAATCAGTCATCACTTACTTTTTTCAGGGTAAAACGAATAGGTCTGTAAATTGGCTCAAAGTGAAACCATACTATTGTATTGTAGTGGGTTTTTGCTAATATCATTCTCTCCTCATTTTTCAGGGTGAACCCTTTCTTGATAGTCACTATTTCCTGTATCATGAAGATGAATCACATTCTCGTCGAAGGAAACGAGAGGCAGTGAAGCGACTGGACTCTCATCCAGCCGTCGAATGGCTTTCAGAACAAAGGGCACGGCGGCGCACGAAACGAGATTACCTTCACAATGACTTTCAAGTTGTTGAGGTAGACAAATGAGTACATAATTAATTGCAAGGTCGTCGTACTATGAATAACCCTTTTTGTTCTCAGGGAGAGGGAAAGCGGCTGTCAAAACGAAATTCCTCTAGTTCAAGGCGCACAAGTTCCAGTAGAGATTTTCGGAAGCGCCGACGACAAGCAGTGCGTGAAATTCCTCGTCTGCCGTGGCCTGACCCACTCTACCCTGATCAGTGGTACTTGGTTAGTTAAGCATTCCACATCTAACACAAATTGAAATCAGTTCTCAGAGTTCTCCGTGCAAACAGTTGTATTCAGGTAGGAAAGGCTGTAGGCAACTATGATATGAATGTGCGAGAGGCATGGCTGCTTGGTTACGCGGGCCGTAACGTATCTGTGTCTATTCTTGATGACGGAATTCAACGGTAATTACCGTTCCTCACCCCTATTTTATTCCTGGATTCATGTAGACTGACAGAATTAATCTTTGTCAAGGGATCATCCGGATTTGGTGGCCAATTACGACCCATTAGCAAGCACCGACATCAACGATCACGACGATGATCCAACGCCACAAAACAACGGCGACAACAAGTGAGTTTTCGAAAGAAATACGGACGGCCGTAGTTTAATGGTTTTTCTTCGTGTGTTGACTCTTTTTCTATCATTACTGGCCAATCGTCAGAGTTTTTTCGCCTTCGGTGATTTAAGGAACGCTCTGGACAGCAGTTGCTCTGTCTATGAACACATGTTTTTTTTCTTTTTACAATGATTGATTTGCAGACACGGTACCCGATGTGCAGGTGAGGTTGCAGCTATTGCTGGGAACAACTACTGTGGAGTTGGTGTTGCGTTCAAAGCAAAAATCGGAGGGGTGGGTTTTTGGGTGATATTTGAACATATCTTTCACTTTACAGCGATCTAAGACCAATCTCGTTAAAGGTTCGTATGCTTGATGGAGCTGTGTCAGACAGTGTTGAAGCAGCATCGTTGTCTTTGAATCAAGTAAGATTTTGAAGTTGTCCATGCCTCTGAAGTGCAAGAAACTTTTTTTTTGACAAGAAGTGTGCTTGAGTACTTAGGTCAGTTGTTTAGGACCACATCGATATCTACTCAGCAAGTTGGGGCCCCGAGGACGATGGCAAAACATTTGATGGACCTGGACCGCTTGCCAGAGAAGCATTCTATAGAGGAATCAAAAATGGTCGTCGTGGAAAAGGAAATATTTTTGTATGGGCCAGTGGAAATGGCGGTTCAAGGTGTGTTGTAGGGGTTTATTCAGAATGTTACCACTATTACAACCTATTTTTGAACATTATGGCGCCCTTATTTGTTTATTTTGCCGAAAGCGCTCCAGAAAGGTCTTGCGTGAAGGTCAGGGTTTCGAGTAAATCTTTATACCATTAGTCAGCGAGCGCGTACTAATTGGCTCCCACGTTTGTCAAACGTTTTTCTTTCTAGTGAAGTTTACACCATTAGTCGGCTTAACGCCAAGTGGAAGAGTTTTAATGTAAAGCGAAGCTGTGCATCGAGGCATAACTTAACAAATTCTTAGTTACATACTGATTTTAGGCAAGATTCTTGTTCGGCCGATGGATACACCACATCTGTATATACCTTGTCAATATCTTCTGCGACATATGATAACCGTCGCCCATGGTATTTGGAAGAGTGCCCGTCGTCAATCGCTACTACATATAGCTCAGCGAACATCAATCAACCCGCTATTGTATGTTCCTCGATTGTTAGATAAATCGACCAATTGGGTGCAAAATATTTTCATTTGATGCTTCGTTTAGGTTACCGTTGATGTCCCGTCGGGCTGCACAAAGATGCACACAGGAACCAGTGCATCGGCTCCACTGGCTGCTGGCATCATAGCGCTTGCACTAGAGGCTAAGTGAGTCGATTGTCTTTCGACGGTGTTATTCATCTTTGTTTTTTCGTTACTATTCTTGGCTATTTCAGCCCTGATCTCACGTGGCGAGATATGCAGCACATAGTTCTCCGAACAGCTAATCCGACACCGCTTCTGGGAAATCCTGGCTGGTCACAAAATGGTGTAGGAAGGATGATTAGCAACAAGTGAGTAGCAGTTATATAATTTCTTTGTCATCCGATAATCGTAAGGAGGCCGGACCGAGCAGGTGCTGATAGTGGGCCCTTCTAGATTCGGCTACGGCCTCATGGACGGAGGCGCCCTTGTAAAACTGGCGAAGACCTGGAGGACGGTACCTGAGCAACATATCTGTACATACGAGTATAAGCTGGCGGCACCAAAGTAGGTCTTCAATTCATGTTTCATAAAACCCCCTTTACTTTTATATCTTTCAGCCCTCGTCCTATACAAGGCCGTTTTCAAATGAATTTCACTTTGGAAGTGAACGGTTGCGAGTCCGGAACTCCAGTTTTGTATCTAGAACATGTTCAAGTGCATGCTACTGGTAAGTGCATTAGTCTTGTATGCTTTCGTTAATTTCAAATTATTATCACACTAATCACTGATAATTGTCTGTTATATTTTTAATAAATTGCTAATTATTGTCATACACTACTTCGATGTTGGTTTTAGTCCGATACTCGAAACGAGGTGACTTGAAACTCACACTTTTCTCACCTTCCCGAACGAGGTCGGTGCTACTACCACCCAGACCTCAGGTTCGTTGGAGTTTTATATATTCAGTCACTTTGTTATGCAGTCAGCACAGGTTTTCTGCAGCACCTGATACATCTTACTCTTTTAGTTGTCGAAAATCAAAAGTATTATTTTAGGACTATAATAGCAACGGTTTTCATAAGTGGCCTTTCCTTTCTGTTCAACAGTGGGGTGAGGACCCCCGTGGGACATGGGTTCTTATGGTCGAAAGTGTCACGAATAACCCGTCGGCTTCAGGTGATTTCTATTTAATGCTGTTTTTTCCTCCCATTCATCTGAATTACTGATTATTCAGGCACATTCCATGACTGGACATTACTGTTGTATGGTACAGCAGAACCTGCGCAACCAGGGGATACTATTCATCCGCCTACCCCTGTACCATCTCAAACGGTGCTGGGTCGGATACAACACCTTACAAGCCAGGTCGGATTTCATACCTTCTAGTTAACGTTATGCGGAGATCATTGATTAAAATGATATCGAAGCTCGTACCCAAACGAAATAATTAAACCTTGTAAGCCCATGAAGTGCGAGCTTCGTGTTCATTCGCATTGAAATAGATGTAATGCACAGTTGAAGTGGTGCTGGAAATAATTTGCCCTTCAAACGCATAACTAACCTACAATATTTGTTTGCATGTGCTTTGCTTTTGTGCTTCAACCGCTCTGCAAACTGCCTATGCATGCCTGCTTTCTTACTAACATTTCTCAATTCCCTTGCCTTTGCGACGCGACTCGTAGCTCTACTGAATCTGTGCTCATTTGTTTCATTAATAAATAAATGCAAATGTACAGCGGAACCAGTGGTGCCGAGTATTGTCTGCTGGCTTACTGCTTCTATTAATGCATACTCATTGTTTGCTGCGCTTAACCTACTATAAATGATGAGTAATTGGTGGTGGTTAGCCGTCGGTACTGTTGGTGTCTTGCAGAAGTTTCGGAAGCGTCCGATGGCATTCTCACGGTCCCGTCAGTTCTCGATACCGAGTTCTGCGACAGCGCCACAACGATCGCCGTTTGTGCGACCCAGAACACAAATACAGCGCCCATTCCATAACAATCAACTGTCCGGCAGATGGGTGTACACTCCGAGTACGCAACAATGGGTCTGGGTGGATATGCGTCAATGGCAGCATAGAAGAGATCGACGACTATAGAGAATCAACCAGAAGTGCCCTCTGCTCGGAACGTACCTCTTGTTCGTTCGCATGGGGTTTTCGGTGACAGGGCTTTCATATCACTCACTTGGCGCCAACTACGACCACAACATTCTTAGTCGCACACACTGTTCCGCTGTATTGTGCGAAAAAATTTACCACATGAGCGTACGGTAAGCCGAGCGTTGAGATGCGATGCGTATTCTCTCTACAGATAACGTTTCCCGTTATGTTGATGGTCGTTCAAGCGGTTGTACTGGTAGTGATCGCGACTTCGGCGGCGATCGCTTGCCGCCGCGCATCAGCACCTCTTCCTTCATCTACACCGCTTCCTTCAACTCATCAAGTGACGATCGACGAGTCCTCATCTTTCTCCTCCACTACGGCCTTAAATGGTCTATCTCAAACCACTCAGCAGCAGCTGCATAACGAACACCCAAATAGCGCAAATAACGCGTTCACGCAGTGATTGTGATAGTGATGTATCGATTAAGACACCCCCAATACTTACCAACACAAGATCCCATTCAATCCGAGCACGAGTTGTGGACTTTTGGGTCGGGGAGACGGTACATTTGAGAAGTGCCTATGATTGCCAGTTGGGAATAATTCTCCAGACACAGGCTTCCTTTCTCCTTCTGTGTCCCAATCCTTAAGAGCGCAAAGAAGTTCGGACTGTATGCAGCTGTACGGTTCATTCCATCCGATATGATATACGTAGATTGCTGGCCATGTATGGCGACGTCACACCGTTAGCAGTTCATGGCACTCATTTCCATCACACTAACATATTTTCCTCGAGATACTGTTCTGGGATGGATTTTGGCTTAAAAAATATACAAAAAACGGAATTCTGAGTGAGCCTGGTGACGCAGTGGATGTTTAGCAGCATTATAGCGTATATCATAACGGTAGGAATGAATTGCTGAAAAAAAGTAAATCGTGAGAAGCGCGTGCGTGATTCACATTACAAGGGTATTGCTTTGCGTGTACTTCTGGTCATTCCTTTTCTTTCCTCTCACCCTTTGATATACCATGTTACCGTTTTTTACTCTTTCGTTGTTTCCTCTTACCTTACCGCATCCTCGCATGTATTGGTTTCGGTCCACATTTTCCAAGCTTCTTACTATCGTATCCTCTTTTAACTATAGGCTTTTCCTATTGTATTGTAGAGATACGAGCAAATTAGTAAGGAGAGTGGTTAGTTATTATGTTTAGTCTCCGGCATCGAAGTACAATCTTATGCAGAATTATTTCAATGCGGTTTTTTCTAAAGCATTTGGAGGTGTATGAAGGAAAAGTTCTATCATTATTATAATTATTATTCTCTCCCTTCACTCTATACGCTGCATTTGCTATGTCAGGTTTGATTTTAACTTTAGCAGTATTCGTATTACCCCCTGCCTGAATATGTTCTCACACTGTCACATCGTGATATGAGTGCCTTAGATATAAAATAGAATTTAAGATTACCATAATGTTTTTACCTTCTCTTCTGCCTCTTTCGTAAAGAAGTTAGGGTTTTATATCGCTATTATTTTAGCAAACGGTTAAGTTTTAGGAATTAAACATTGCTACATTATATCTGTCCTTTTTCTCCTTTTAACGAACTTCTAACAAATATGAGTATCTTGGTGTTCTCAATTATTGCTGCAAGATGCAAGCTGAATTGCTGAACCCCAGTCGCAGTCGGATTCGCATGATCGTAGATGTTGTGGTGTTTGTGTATGTTTGTACTATATTGATGCATCGTTGTTACATCATCAATTTCGTGCCTTGAAGAGTCCATTTTCATAAAGGAAATATAGCTGTGAATAAAATCTTTTTTGATGTCATGGTGTGTCGGTGTTGTGGTCGTATACCTGGTGCTTTAATCATCAGTTTTCATTTAATTGATATTTACACTCTTTTCCGCCTTCCCTCTTTCCATAATTGCGTCTTTCTATTTCTGGTCGGTGCGTTTGTGGTGATGATGGTGGTGACTGTGTTTTGGTGGTAGGATCGGTTTTTTCGTCTTTTTGAGTTTCCTTTCACTGCTTTTCAAGGTTTGGGTTCACTTTCTGTTACGGCGGTGATGGTATCTTAAAGGTGAAATTACCGGTTTCTTTTGTATCCATACTGAACTTTTATTACTGCACGTATGATTGCCTGCCTGCCTTTTAGTCACGCAGCAACACGCTTTACGTTTTAAACTGTGTAGAACACACAAACACACAAAAGCTCTTAAAAGTTTTTGTAAGAAGTCGAGAACGCGTAGTGCTGTTTTTCTGTAAACGTACTCCATTCTTTAAAACGTTCCTTTTTGACCTCGGCACTGTAGTTCATTCACTGCCGATGACGAACATCAGGGGATAGAGGCTTAGGCATAAAGGTTAGGAGAGGCCCCTGAGTTCTGAACGGAACGGTTACGAGAAAGCTCGCTGTGAGAGAGACATTCCAAAGCCGTAGGATAACCTGAATGAGATTGGCAAAGAATGCTTGAAGGTTTTTCGACATCGGAATACTTCCAATTACCAGAAAAAAAAAAAAAAAAACGATGTGGTTAAGTAGTGATAGCCTGTACTGAAAGAGGTTCACGGTAGTTGTGAAGACTGAAATTTAAAAAAACAGTTTCTCAGATTTTTACGAGTTTTGATTAATACTGAGTCATACTTCAGTAAGGCTTGAAACATCATGAAAAGAATAATGTTTCAGGTATAAAACAGCCATTGATCTAAACGTTTTCGAGACATTGATAACGATGCGCATGAATCGGTTCCGATAAAATTGCGAGAGGCTGAAAACTTACATTTCTTCAATTCGATCGATACCTGTGTAAATAAGGTTGCCTGAATTGTTCGGT